TTCTTTTTACTTCCGTTTCGGACTCCCCACTACGCTTGGAATACCTGTGTTCTCTAGAGGCTTCCTGACGTTTTTGTATCGCTTGCTTCACTTCTTTGTCCCACCAACTTTTTGGTCTATGTCCTTGCTTCCCCTTTCGTTTACTCTTAACTTTGTCTAGTTCTAGAGCAAAAAGCCTAGTTAGGCTCTCATAGGTCCAATCTGTATGCCGTTGCCCTGAAACTGCTGCCTCTATTCTTTCAACAACTATTTCCAACTCTTTGTCGCTGCAGAAAGTTTGCTTTGAATTATGTTGTCTAGTTTCAGCATTTACTTCTCTGGCAAAATTCAGCTTAATACGTTTGTGATCACTACCAAGACTTTTGGAACCTTCTTCATCTATTTTCATTACTTGTAACTTACCATATATTTTGTGTGACATGAGTACGTAATCTATAGTTGAATGTAGATTGCCAGTTTCCCAAGTTATGTGCCCGTCACACTTCTGACTGGTATTACATAAAACTAAATCATGCTTTTCCACCAGTTCTAGTAATATGCTTCCAGTTGAGTCCGTATACCCATCCAGACCCTCAATATGGGCATTCATGTCTCCCATAATAATTATTTCGGAGCCTTCCCCTAGTTCACTAATGTCTCTTGATATGCAATCAATCATTTTTCTGTTTTCCTCTTTAGCACCTGTCCCTGTCCATAAGTAAACCACTCCAAGGACTGTTGATTCCCCAGCGACTTTTCCTTTCAGCCACAAGTGTTCGGCGCACTCCTTTCTCAACCTTTGAAAGTTCATATTCTTCTTAATAAATGCTCCAATTCCACCTCCCTTCCTCGTTCCCTCCATTCTGTTGCATTCTTCCCACACATAGTCAGGGTTGCAAGGTGGCTGCTCCATGTCTCTGAGATGTGTTTCCACAAACCCATACACCATTAAATCCTCCTTTCTTAGTTGCTCCTCTACCTCTTCCCATTTTAACCTATTTCTACCACCCTGCATGTTAATATATCCAATGTCTGATTGTGCTGTTTTTTTATACCTGCTCTTACGTTTTCTCCTCTTTTTAACCCTGGGTGCCTCTCCTGACTTTGTTGGGTTTTCAGTTACTTCAGTGCCCCCAGGGCCCTCGGTCCCCCCAAAAAAGCAGTCACCGTGCGGCCCATTCTATCCCCCACCCTGTATCCCGTGGCCTCACTGTAGTGAATGCCATCTGCAAAAGGGCGGGAGCCAGCCTCGTACACTTCTCTGTTTACTTCCATTACGTCGTACCGAAGCTGTCGACTCATACCCTTAATTACTCCGTTGGCTTCGACAACCCTCCTCTCCGTTAACCCGGACTGCCCCCGAACTTCTGGAATGGTGCACACAACCACATGCACATTCTCAGACACGTCCCTCAGCTTACGTATTCCCACGTTTAGCTGCTTTCCGAGGTTCTGGCTCCTACCCTTCAGCACATCATTAAGCCCCGCATGAACTATTACTAGGTTCCTTCCCTCCCGGTTATCCCACACCCCCTCACGTGCTGCGGTCATAGCATCCACCATACACTTCCCTGGCTGGACCTCTACGGTTACCCTCTGGTCTCCCTTCACCCTGTTATGTACACCCCTCCTAACCCGTGCTACGTTAGAGCTCCCCACTACCAGTACCCTAGAACCCCCTGGTGCCTGCGCGCCTTTGTCCTGCGACTTATCTCCTGTCACCTGACTGCCCGACGCCTGCTGCTCGAAGGCGCCATTGAGCTGAGGTTCAATCAGCTCTCCAGCGTCGTCGAGCCCGCCTGCCAACAGGCCGGACTCCCGACCACCAGGGACCCCAGCCTGCAGACTGGTGGCTCGTCCCGCTAGGACTGACACTTCCTCCTTTCTTCCCTCGCTACTCTCACTCGCTCGAATTACCCCTTCCAGGCGCTCTACCCTACTGTCACACTCCCTCTTACGCTCCTCTAAACCCGCCTTCCATACTTCCCCCAGCTCTTCCGCCTGCTTCTCGAGGCCGACCCGCTGCTCCCTCTCATGATTAAGCTGCCTAGTCAGCTCCTCTACCTGGGCCTCGAGACCCACCCGCTTCTCTCCTTCTGCCTTAAGCTGGGCCTCAATCTCCCGAACTCTACCCTCCCATTCCCCAGTTACCTGCTGAAGCTTCACACAAAGCCGACACTCGAAACTCACCTCCGCCGCCACCTCCAGGCTCCCGAAACCCGTCTCCTCCAGGTAACACCACCTCCCACACCCCTCGCACTGCACCAACTCGTCCCCACCCTTGTCATGCCGACCCAAATCTAGACCCATGTCTAGACCGGGAACAAACCGTCCCTTCCCGCCAAAAATTCAAACAGAGCCTACTTTGCGAAACTAACGTTAACTGCTGCTGTTCAAACCTAATACTGCTACCGCATAGTCACTTCCAATCAACTCTCAAAAAAAGAGAGAGAAAAGAAGAAAAACTGGCACTTAGCTTCGGATGCTCGAGGAGAACCAGGAAACACGTCCGCTCACCGCAACTCAGTCGCGTGCGTCTTCGCCGAACCCATAGCGGCGCCATCTATCGACAGCCCGTGATATCGCGAGGAGAAACTAACTCTCCATACAGTTACTCTCGAGGTCGAGGGAGAGTTAAGGGAGAGTATCATCGAAAGAAGCGGTCGGGAAAGAGAGTAACTTTCATGCAGATAGAGTTAAAGGAGAGTAAGTTAGGGCACTTACTCTCCCTTGACACCTTTTTTTTTTAGAGTGTAGCGCGGCGATGCTGCTCGGTCGCCGCTCCGTTTTACTTAGAGGGGACCTGTACCTGCTCCACGAGTGCTCAATGTTTACAAATCCACAGCTCAGCGTGCGATCTCCACAGCTCAGCACGCGCGTGTGCGTCGCTTCGGAAAGCGAGCAAATCACGCGCGATACGCACGAACACTGAAAATGAAACCGGCCAGCAGCCCTTTTCTGGAAAGGTCTATACTCTTCTCACGCACTCAGTCTTTGTGAAAATTGCTGATTTCGTTTTCTTTTTTTTTTTATTTTCATTTGAAACCTGTCTATTTTCACAAATTAAAAAAAGGTAACTTAGTCGTCTTTTTTTATTATTGAGTGAACAAATTAGTGAGCATCGCGCATTTTCTGATGTCCGTCACCACGAGTAATGCGGTCTCAAAAAAATTGCCGAAATTTTAGCAATTTTTGTCAGTTTTCGCTAAAACACCCGGTACAGTGTTTTCGCGTGCAACCAAACGGCCTTTTTTTTTTTTTTTTTAGTTTGTGGGAATTGGATTTGCCGTGCAGCAGATGCTAACAAAAGGTTTCCCAGAAGTGGCCAGGTAAAAGTAAGAACGCATTTTAGTTTAATAGGCCTACACCAGCTTCGTCACATGAAATATTCACGGTAGTACGAATAAAAATGAAGTGTACGCGTGTGCCCCGAAAGGACTTTTTGCTGCTCCAAAATGGAGCTCTGGCTACTCCTAAAAAGGTGCTCCGAAATGACTCGGGGGGCCAATCGCATCATTGCGTCCCACAAAAGAAGACGTCCCGCTGCGGGTCGTCCTCGAGACCGACAGTCCACGGAAGTTTAGGCAGACGAGTTGGGGGCGCCCCGATAATGGCGACTCTCTCGTTTTCTGTTTTTTTTTTTTTTTTTTTTTTTTTTTTTGGAGGGGGGGGGGTTTAACGATTGATTGCGATGATCGCAACATCAGACGGCGTCGCACTCCGGCTTTTCTGCCGTCATTCGTACCCGCTTTGGTACCACTTTCACTCTACGGACGGGATGAGATGGCGTATCGGATTGTGCATCTATCACGACAGAGAGCTGCTCATCGGCGACGGCGAGAGTTCCGTTGAATGTGAGCAACCGCCTTCATCCTGGACGTTGTGTTTGCGAATTTTTCTGTGGTGCCCGAACCGGATTATGCAACTATCACGGATTACATGAGATCGGTGTTTTATTTGTAAGTACTCTGCAAGCATGCTTCTGGTAGTAGTCCTGCTTCCGTCTCAATAGACCATTTTACTGTTTACAAGCATGAACTGCTGCTTACGCCTCAATCAACTCCCGGTCGTTCCGTCTCTGCCAGCCTGTCGAGTTTTGCCTACGTCAGCAGAGCTAGAAAGCATTAAAGTAGGTTTAGGCGAAGGAAAGCCTTATTTAAAGTTTGAGTGCATTTATTTTAAACCTCTAAGAATTTTGTAGCTTTGTCACAAAAACTTAACACTGGGTCACAAATGTTAGCATTTGAGGTTTGACATTGGTTTCTCGCGAATTCGCGAAAGAAGAAGAGGTCCATGCACGTTTTTTCTGGATTCAAAAAATAAAGTGTTCCACATGTTTGAATTTGTTAGCAATCATTTCTCCGTAAATACTTTTTGATGAAGTGCTGTGTTACACATTTAGTATAACTTCTTGTAGCTGAATGAAGTGAGAGTTACTGCGCAGGCGAGCTGGTGAAGGATCATGGTGAAAAAAACCCAAGACTAGGACAAAACATCGGGACAACACAACACGTCTCAAGACATTTTGAGACAGTATTGTGTTTTCCCAATTTTTTTGTCACTAGTCTCGGAGTTTACCCACCATGCTCTTCTAGCTGCAGTACACGTTTTTGGTAGGGTGTGCTGCTGCCATCACACCCTAATGAATAGGTGTAGAGCAGACTCACTCCTTTCTGTGTAGGGTGTAAGGGATTACACCGGTTTTTGAGGGAGTGAGAAATAACACCACTTTTCTAGGGCGTTTTTGTACACCAATAAGGGGGTGAGTTGTGACCCATGCCATTTACACCAATAAGGGCGTGAAAATGTTTAGTGTGTAGGATGCTGAACCCACCGGTCGACAAGCATTCCAAGCACCGTATAGATCCAGTAATCTTAAGATTCATTGCACTTTTTTTTTTTTTAATTCACTTGTAAGGTTTAGTGGTCTTAACATTCACATTCCGTGAATTTTAAGACCACTGGATCTGCGGTGCAAATAAATGCGGTGCTGATTCTTTTTTTTTTTTTTTAATTTCCAGCCGTAGGATCGAGATGTCGTCCACCTCCCAGAAGCACCGCAACTTTGTCTCCGAGCCCATGGGCGAGAAGGTGGTGACGGACCTCGCGGGCGTCGGCGATGTTCTTGGGCAGAGGCTGGTACAGAAAGGCTTCGACAAGGTGGGTCCCGTCGGATTCTTCTAAAGGAAGGAGGGGAGTATCGAATTAGAGTGGAAAAATTCCCAGCACGCCTACAATTGGGCTGGATATAGTCATTGGGTGCATCACGAGTTTCATCATATCAAGAAAAGAAAAGCGGTTGAGTGTCAAAAACTTTCCTATGTTGAGTATTGTAAGATTTGCTTTTCTAACCATTGGTTTATGTCACAGTGGGAAGTGGTGAAACTCCTGATCACGGAATATGGGCATTTGTGGAAATTTACATTTTACTATCGTCCCCTGCGCACTCGATGAGACCAGTTGCCGGCGTGACGAGTCATCCTGTGACGAATGTTCCTATGTGACGAATCGTCCTGTGACGAGTGCGCATGTGACGAATCGTTCTCATCCCATAAATTCCCCCTTCACATCCCCTCACAAAAAAAAAAAACAACAAGCTCTGGCAATGAGCTGGCCAGGCGCACTTGACACACTGTGCGCAGAAAAGGTTCGTTCACACCACGAAGAAAAATAAAGCGGTTTACAACCTGTCGCAAAAACAGGTGAGCCAAGGAGAGTCCCCCAGCGCGCACGCGTCTGAAAAGGTTCGTGCGGCTTGTTTTTTCCCCAGGTGGATCCCCAGATAAAAACCACAAAAACACGATGCAATCTCTGCACGTTGATACGCGAGCAGTGCAAGACCTGAAGCACATATCACAGTTTACAGACAAAGAACAAATTGCACACCGTGGCACGCGCAAACATCGATAAATCCCACCTTTTCCACTTTTCCGTTTTTTTTCTCGAAGATCCACAGCCTGCCCTCGCCAGTATGGGTCACTGTCGCGATAATCTTCTAACGGGATCTCCAAGTATTTGATTGGTGTAGTTATCCACTTCACGTTTTCGAATATACTAGGCTTGGGGCATCCCAATCTTCATGCCAAAATCCTAAACACTTGTGCCAATTAACAGCACTAGCGCTAAATTTGCAAAACTTTTTCACCAGCTTCAATGCCTCGCTTATGCCACCTCTTTCTACACAAAATATTGCTATATCATCGGCGTAAGATAACAATTTTACCTCGCACGATTGCAGTTTAAACCCACTAACACTTTTGCATATAATAATACTTCAACAAAACGACTCTATGTAGATACAAAAAAAAGAACGGGTGATATGGGACAACCTTGGCGAACAGAACGAGACACTTCAATGCGTTCAGTGACAACTTTGTTCATAATGAGACTCGTACGTGAGGCACTTTTTGTACGCCATACGTACACCCTCAAGCAGAACTGTGCCGACATTTACGTGTTCTATGACGTCAAACAAAAGATCGTGTGACACCTGGTCAAACGCTTTTTCCAGATCAATCTGGAGCATTGCAACCACGCGTTGCGTACAGTCACATCACTCAAGAACACTTCTGGTGACATGAATATTCGTTACTAGGGTCCGTCCTCTAATTCCGCATACTATGTCTGTTATCACTGATTGCAAGCGTTTAGCTAAAATTCTCATAAATATTTTATAATCAACGTTTGTTAGACTGATTGGACGGTACGCCGACCCCTGCCTGAGTTTTATTTTGTCCTCGCTTTTGGGAATGAGTATTGTATGGGAACGACAAAAGGACGGCGGTAGTAATTTACCCTCATATATGCTTCAGCGTAAACCCTACATAATACCGGCCTAACCTCATGCTTAGTCGCCTTGTAAAAGGCCGCGGTTAGGCCGTCAGGGCCAGGCGACTTTCCAGGATTCAAATGCTCAATAGCATTTTCTACTTCACCTAGGGTAATCCCAGCCTCTAAAAAAGTAGTTGTTTCACTGTCTAACCGCGGAAATAGGAGCAAAAACTCGCTTTTAAAGTTCGCTAAATCAACGGTTAGGTGAGAAAACAAATTCTTGTAGAATTCACAAAAAACCTTTTCTATTTCTGCGCTATCTCTTGTAACGGCCCCGCGATTTTCAATTTCGGCAATCTCGTTGCGGATAGCGTACCTTTTCTCAGCCCCTAGTGCTCTTTTCGTCGGCGCTTCCCCACAGAACAGCCAGAACAACTTTCCTGCCCGCGCTCTAACGAGTGCTCTGTGGTAGCGCTAGAACTTCCAACTGACATATTAAAGTACTTATGTCATCTTTATGGACAGCATTAGTCTTCGTCAATAAGTAACTCGAGATTAGTGCGCAGAAGGGATTTTAGTTTTCTTTCTCTATACTTTATCGCGCTCGTTTCCATTGCTTTCATTTTAATTTCTTGCTTAAACCGTTCCCATTTTGAAGCGTAGTCATTCACTTCCCCTTTGAAGATACCTCTTAAGCTATCGTTGACAGCGGCCATGAAATCGTCGTCGCTCATGAGTTTACTATTTAATTTCCAAAGCTCCCAACAAAAAGCTTTTCTTTTTTTCCTGGCGCTTGCAAGTGTAAACAAAACTAAACAGTGATCACTAAATGAAACGGGCATCACACGATATTCGCTACACTGAGGAAGAATCTCCAATGAAACATATGCCCTATCTAAGCGGGCATGACTTGATCCTTAAAAGTGAGTATAAGGTACATTTCTACTGTACCCCAAACAGTCCCCAACATCTTCTAACCTCTTTCCACTTAAGCGGAGCGAACGGTGGAGAGGAGGTCGCCTCTTCTCCAGCGTTTGCACTACTAAAGTAAAAATAGGTGGGAGGGGCTTTCACTTCGTTCTTGACCTGTCACCGACTGTAGTAAAGAAACCGTACGCGTGCGTATTCAACTCGATGTACGCACTTCGTGCTTGACGTTTGAGCGAGCGATGTCTTCAGCCACGAGAAGGGAGCGACGGCTCGGCGATGTCTTGCAAGTGCATGGCTTGCTGGTCGGGCGTGTCGTACGGGATGAATATCAGTGCTTTTGATCCGTCCAAAACTTCTCTTTCGAAGGAAGACTGAATTCGCCGGTACCGTGAACGACAGTTTTGAAGTAGAGGTCCCACGCCCGTCGTCCGCTGCCATCCGCTAGTCCCACGAAACGCGAAACGACGCCGTGTTGAGAATTACGCAGTGAACGCACACAATGCTTCCGGTTGTCTGTGCAACCTTTTTTTTTTTTTCAATCAACGTACCGTATTTTCCGGACTATAGTCCGCACCCGGTGTATAGTCCGCAGGGAGAAATTTGGGGTCAAAAATAAAAGATTTTGCTTAGATAGCCCGCACCCGGTGCGTAGTCCGCACCTGGTGCTTAGTCGACACGAAAATCTTCTCATAGACGGCACGCGTTTACAAATGTCTGCTTTTTAGCTCACAACAAAGCCTATAATGTGCATAAATCATCATTAACATACACTTTCGTGCACAAAATTCGTCACGTCATAATAAACGATCTTGAAAAACATAATTCCTGTATAGTCCGCAAGCGTAGATAGTCCGCACAGCCAGAAATTTCAACTTTTAAATATGTATAGTCCGCGGACTATAGCCCGGAAAAACAGCTTTTTGGAAGCCACGAAAAATGGGTTTCATATTTTTTTTTCTATTTTTAGTATTGAGTGTGTGCCTTCAATGACCCACGACTTTGATTAAATTTGGTGGTCGCGTCGAAACCTTAGAAAACGGCCCGTAACCACGGAAAAGAGAGTGAGCGCGACTCAAACCGGCCAGTTCTCGATCGGCTGTTTTCGGGCGGAAAGGGACCGAATTTCGAGCCGCAAATTCTGTCCTGGGTAGTTGGGCTCTCATCTGTCACGTACAACTCAAAATCTCGGCGAGCATAACAACCCTGTCAGTATCCCTTTAAGACGACAGGTTCCCTCTCGTACGTCGAATGGCACGACACGAGGACCCCGCTGAATCCTCAACTCCGCGGCTTTCCAGGGGTTTCGATGTCAACGGGCCAGGAAGACCCGGTGCCGGAACAGAACGACTGAGAGTCTGTTAGGCGCAGAGAAACGGCTTTCTTTTGTAAATGGCAAAAGGGTCTCTGGTCATTGACAAGGTGAAAACGGCGGGGAGTAGCTTCGGATTCCTGCCTCCAGCGCGATGCGTCCTGTCTCTCGAGTGCGCTTGCGCAGCCAAAGCACCAAGGAAGGCGCGAAACGCACGCTGGAAGCCGGGCGTTCGAAGGACTCGCCCAACCGTTCTCACACTGTCGGCGACAATGGCGAGAGCGTCGTAAGGATTGAGATTGCCTCGCGGCTGGTTACAATTGTATTGCCTATACTTTCAGGCCTACGTGGTGCTGGGGAAGTTCTTGATGGTGAAAAAAAAACAAAGACCTCTTCATCGAGTGGATGAAGGAAGTATGCGCCGCCAACAGCAAGCAGGCGTCTGACTGTTACCAGTGCCTCTACGACTGGTGCTCGGAGTTCCTGTGATGCGGTGGCTGCAGTGCCCATACCTTTCTGTATACATACTGACGTTTTTAGTTGTTCTTTTCTTTTACTTTAGCTTTTAACGTAAACTTGATTTAATAAATATTTGAAATATATGTACGTGTGTCTCCTGCGGACTATATGTGTGCGCGACAATGGTGCAACAAACAGGGAGTGCACACAGTTAGCCCGGTGGACACCTGGCGGTTTTATGCGCGGCTGTAGCTTCCCCGGTGCTTCAGCGCTGTCGAAGCTACGTGCGCGTGTGAATGCTATAGAGGAAGTCTCGTGCACAACATGCTCTCGACGCGGTGAGGCGCTTCAGCACTGCAGGGGCTACGCTAGCCTGGACGACGTAGCACAAAATGGCCGGTGACGAGTCGGCGATATGGTGACGCATGCCCCTCGAAAATCTGGATAACTTTGGCAGCCGTTTGCATGTTTTTACAACTTCTCTTACTTTAATACAGAGTCGATTATTATTAGAAATGTCAGTTTTGATCGGAAGGAGTTTCGTAGAAAATGCCTTGGGTTTTTCTTTTTTTTTTTGGGAGGGGGGGGGGGGGAGCACCTTTAGAGCGCTCGACACTAAAGCGCCGACGTTAGAGCGCGCGACACGAGGGCGCTGCGACAGTAGCGCTCTTGACACTAGAGCGCATGTCACGAGACCGCACGACCAATTGAGTGCGCGACACGAATATGTGTGATGTACCCGCGCGGGTCCACACACAGAACAAAATTGTGCGACGCATCGGATCGGAACATTAATAATTTTTTTATTAAATATGCATTTAATAAAAAAAATAAAAATAAACCGGGTACGACTCTTTCTAATAAATTGCTTACTGACATCGGAGAGAAAAGGGGGCATTGGAGTGGGTGGGGCATATAGGTACCGGAGCAGCGAGTCTAAGATCTCTTTATACCTTGCAAGTTCACTCGACATTCATGGAGGGTGGTAAATTCCTTGTTCGGGTAGTTTTGCCAAACTGTCTGTGATCATCATTTTTAATGTCTTTCTGCGTTTGTGCGCAGTTTATTTATTTCTGAAAAAAAAAAAAAAAAAGAAAACAGCAGAGCGTCGCGGGCGTCGATATCGGCGAAACCGCAGGATCGAGCGCTAGGGCGAGACTGACTCGACAAGGTCGCGGGCGGCCTCTTATCTAGAGTGCGCCGCTATCTCGAAGATTCGGCGAAAGCGGTTCGAGCGTCGCGTGATCGGGGCGAGAATGAACACGTACTTTCTAGAAAACAAAAGCAGGGATAAATGATAGAAGTTACGTGCGGTACATGAATAAACGGGAACTTTCTGGAGGACCGTGACCGAGCGTTTCTTTCTCAGCCTTGCGCGCGGCAATATTACACAGTCGTCAGCGAAAAGATTTATTAGTGATCAGACGCAATTAGGTAGGTCATTGATGTAAATGAGAAACAGTATCTCAAATCTTGATCTTAAATGTTTTATTTGCTTGTGGTTTTGTTTCAACTAGACTGCGAGCGAAGGAGACCCCATTGACGCGCTACGAGAGCGGACGCACTTTGAGCTAAGCACACACGCTCGTCGAGTATGAGCGTCGTCACAGAAAACATACTCGTGCTTGTCGCACTGGCCGCACTCGCACTTATGTTGAAACAGAGTATAGGAAGTATTCACTGGACGCCATATTTGAGGGCGATGTTTAGAGCGCATGCTCAGAACAAGCTCACATGAATAGCTTGCTAAGACCGGCAACCTTGATGGTGCTAGATGCACGCTCCAAAAGGACTGCGGAAGCTCGCCGTCAGCACGCGCTCAGCAGCAGCGCACACGGATATATCCGCCAGTGAATACTCCCTATTAGCGGCGAGATATTTTGGTGGCGCCCTCCTAGGTTTCCCCTTTGTGACGTCATTACCTTGCGAACAACAAGTTCGATGGTGTTTGTAAATAGCATGGTGGAAGCCTGAAATCATTGCGCTCACAAAGCAACACTGCCAACACCGTCGAAATTGCAGTTCTTTCATTCCTTTTATTTCCGTCGATGCTATACCCCTTCCGACGTCATAGTCAGCTTTTGGGCCAATCGTGGAAGGCCGACCACAGCGACGCTTTCGGTCGCGCACGTCGCCAATAGATACATTCACATGCTCGGGTCCGCAGCCGCAGCAGCGTTGCAAGCTATGTATGCGAAACAAAGTATTCTACGCGAGCACGTACGCAACACTTGACGAGAGCGCGGACTCCGCGTGCACGCACCCGTAAAGGGAGCGGCGCCGATGCCACATACCACGTCTCCATAGAGTGCCTTCATACACACGCGCGCTTTTGCTACTACGTCTCCAGCTCGGCGCCCGCCCTCCCGCGGCGGAAGCGGGAAACGCTCTAGTGAGGGCATGGCCTCCGAGATCCCGAAGCGCGCGCGCAACTTCGGGATCTCGGAGGCCATGGTGAGGGTCCCCCGATTCTCCTGCTCAGCGGCCATGGCGGAACTGCTCGCGATCACGGCTCGCGAAATGTCGTTTCCGAATGCAAACAACACTCTTCACTGTCCCAACGTAGTGCTGCAACCGGTATGGGATTGTACCTTACTGGAGAGTTTTAGTATTGCGCATAGAAGCAAACGCAAGCGGTGTGCGTTTGCATTAGAGTTGCGTGCCCCACGTTGGGTGCGTGCGCCTCATCGCCATGCGCCACCCAAGACCGGGATTTCGGGCTCCGCGCACGCGCAGTGTGGAACACACAAAGCTAGCGAAACCACACAGTGCTTGCGTTCGCTCGTATACGCAATACTAAAACTCACTACTGTTTCAGCGGCTTGCAACGCCCACGAAACGCGCTGCAGTGAGCAGACGTGCGAGCAGGTAGGCGTTCCTTCGAATTGGAAAGGCTGAGATTCGGAAAACGACGGAGCGTAAAGCGACTAAATGTTATAAAAAAAAATTAGTAATTAAAAAAATGTTTTTTTTTTCGGCATTTGGTTTGGAAGAATATTGGCGGCGTTTTTGGACGTTTTGCCGATTATCAGAAGTCGCGACTTTGATAGCAAAATATACTTTACCCACAATTAATGTAATTTTACATAGATTTCTCCCATCAGCTAGAATATTTTAATTGATTTTAAACTATTTTATTACTTGGTATTTAAAAATGCTGCAATCGGCACCAGTGATGATAATGAACACACTTGATTGTCATATTTGTTCGCGTGTTTGAAATTATATCCCAAGCAACAAATTATATTAGAGCTTAAAAAATTACGTATTAAAATATCTTAATTTTAATATTATTATTATTATGAATACAAATCGCGGCAATGCATGCCCCCAATTAACGCCATCGTTATCAAGATAGACAAACAGTCAAACACTGGATGTAATATAAAGTTTTAAACGTCAGGCGTTGCTATCAAAACACAAACACACACACTTCAGCTGTCTGACTCGGATTGAGTTTTAGGGTTGTTGCAGTGAGAACAGAGTTTATTAATTTATAGGTTTTGTGGACATATCGTAAAAATTGAAATTACTCTAATATCTTGTGCGGGGAATAATGTTAAACCAATTAATCATCTAAATACCCAAACACCCATTAAAGGTTCATTATTTCCCATGATAATTATCTGAGCCAGAAAAGGCAGTGAGAACGCAAAAATATTAGCACTAATTACATGTTTGATCCAAACTGGTATTTGTATGTCACAAAATAAAGTTTCCGCGATCAACTTCTCTAACTAAATAATTACGATGTGATACACATCTTGAGTTATAAAAAAAAGCCGAGAGTAAGACCCATATCGAAAAATTAAATCCCAAAAAGAGGTTAGTTTCGGTTTCGCTCCAGAATTAAAACGCGCATCCTTGCGTAAATATTACGCTAAACACCGCTCTTTTTCTTAGGATAAAGAGATGACCTGCGCTCATAACACCCTAGCTTCCTCGTATTACCAGAAGTAATTTGTGTTGCTCAGTAAAGCCAGCACACTAGACAGGCTCAACAGCGACACGCATCTCCGACCCTCACTAAAACTAGGGGTGTCGCGAACTTTTGTCGAACCAGATTTTTTGGTCGAACTTCCGGGGTTCGACTGAGTCGAACCGGTTCGACGAACCTTCGAACTTTTCACCAGATTCGACCGGTTCGACTTTATGGACAGTGTGGCCAGAGCTTAATACAATCATGTCTAGGTTTGGAGAATTTTTTTTTTATGCAAGGGGATATTTTATTTTGTGAACAGCTGCAATTAAAAGAAACCAATTCTAATCACTGAAGAAGTTAATAACTTAATTTTTAGTACTGTATTGACTGAAATAGCCAATCAGCGCTGCACTTAATTCATCTCTTAGCCATTACCATCCAATCCGAAGCCAAGTGGCCAGCCTGTCGCGCATGCGCACACGAGTCGAACCTCAATACAAGATTCGTCGAACTTTCCACTAAAAGTTCGAAAAAGTCGAACCTGGTCGAACTCGAACCGCGACCGGTTCGCGACACCCCTAACTAAAACCGCCACTTTGGAAAATGAGTGGCGCCACCTGTAGTTAGTTGAAGTCGCGGAGCAGGACCAGGCCGTTTTACGGACAGTTGGCGTTTAACAGCGTTTCACTGTACGCGTCTGTATGAAGGCGCTCTATTTCACTGCGTTGCGACTCCGAGAACGCAGGACATCCATACTTCTTTTGTCGCGTGGCAAGCAATTCATTGAATGGCATACCACTCTTCATACGAAGCACAGACATGCCGGTGGCTCGCTTTCGTTTCTCGACGCAACGCAGTCAAACGCTACTGTGCGTAGGGGCCTTCATTTCCTCGGAACGGGCGTCCGTGCACGCCAAGTTGGCAATGTTGTGCTCGCTATTGCACCGCTCGCGCTTACGGTGGGATGGAGTGCATAACTCGCTCTAAACAGCTGTCTGCTTGCAGGCTGGTGCGCTTTATACAGAGCACCCACCTCGCATAACTTTGCAGCTCCCGTCGGGTTGAAATCTTTTCGACCGATTCGGTGAAGCAAGATCTTCCTCCGACGTTCATTTTCCGTTGCAGAGGGAGCACTGAAAAGCTCTCCGGCCGACTTTTGTACAGGCGCAGCAGCCCGTCAGCTTAGGCGTAGCAACATCTTGGGAAGTTCATGGCGACCGGAAGTCCAAAACCGAAAGCCAGATGTCACGTGACGATTGGCCAATAGTGTGCGCGGCGGCTAGTTACAAGAATGGCGGCGCTTTAGTTTAGCTCGGTCTCGGTCAACGTTACTAAAACACTCAGTTGGGAAACTCCCATAGAGACAGCTCTAAAAATATGGCCCCAATCTGTCTCCGAGCACCGAGCTAATGACGAACACAACGCCACCATTTCTCCCGCAGCGGCCACTCGAGAAACTGCACGTGACTTCTATTTTTGACAGGGGTGAACCCCCATCTCCCCGGCGGACGCGCCGCGCTGAACTACTGAAGTTAAAATGCACCTAGGTCGGGACGCGCAACCTGAAAGTCCCGCTGAGGCATGGTTTTATAAAAACAATATTAATTGTTCCACAAAACCTTGCGAACTAAAGATGATAAAAACATCACGCGCCCATCATTTGGTACTAAACTCCAATAAATTTCATACAAAAAGAGTCTTTTCCGTTTGTTTTTACGCAAAAATCAGGCTCTCAAAAAGCTCGAGGTGAAAATAGTACAGACAAACGAAAAAGAGCGGCGCTGTTGTCGCATTTAGCTCGGTCTCGGTGGACGCCAGCGGCCCAGGTTTCGACGGCGAGTTTCCCAACTGAGTGTTCTAGTAACGTTGGTCTCGGTGGACGCCAGCGACCCAGGTTTCAAGCGTGAGTTTCTCAACTGTGTGTTTTAGTATGGTGCCTGGAGCGCGTCTTCGACTGGTGTGTTTAGCGTCCTATCCCGCCCATACATCAAAAGTGGTCCCAACGTGGCAACAAATGACGTTACAAAAGCCGGAGTGTCATGCTGTTGACTGTCGCGATCCTGGCGGCTGGTCGTAGAAATGCTGGTGAAAAGCTCGAGCGAAAGTGAGTGTCGCTGTCGGCACGGCGTCCTAACTTCCTGCTGTTGTAGCTTCCGTGGACTGTCGAAGTGAAGAGCGACCTGCAGCAGAACAGGCGTCTTCTACATAAACCACAGCTGCTGAGACACCACCAGGGTCGCGACCGGCGACAGCATGACACTTGTATGACGTCATCAGGCGGAAATCGAAGGACCACTTTTTTGGAGGCGGTAAACACACCATTCGGAGACGCGTTCCAGGCACCATAGTTTTAGTAACGTCCGTCGATACATGTACTACAGAGTCGAATATAGAGAGAATTCGGCCATTTATTGGGAATTGTAGGAGGCAAATGAGGAGGTGCTATTGGCCGAAGGCGGGCCTGGTTGTTTTCCAGGGAGTCTTCACAAATTCGAATGTGGCCTCGCGCCAGGCGGTGGTCGCAATAAATGAAAATAATCAGTGCGTAATGAGGCGACATTCTGAACGGGAGTCGTTCTCCGGCGAGAGACCACACCTTTATACCACGGCTGCCACGGCGGCAGGCATTCTAAACTATCGTGACGTCTTTCTGCTGACGGTCGCCGTTCAATGCTTTCGTCTTGCCGCTTGTTTTGGTTCAAAGCGTGGGAATGTCAACGCTTTCAAACTTAGAGTTCATCCTTTCTGTCGTTGACAGAACGAGAATTTATTTATTTATTTATTTTGAAGAGAAGGATGGTGACCAGCTGGAGTAGCTAGAGACGCTGAGGCAAAATTCTTCGAGTGGCGGCACACTGTTACCTTCCGAACGGATGTCTCTTTCCAGCGAGACGGCTGCTCCTTCAGGGTACGGCGACGGTGATTTTAGCACAGGGGACGCTTAGGGGTTGTCGTGGGAATTTTAGAAGTGTCTTCCGAAGGAGTTTTAGATGTCGCCGTTTAGGCATAGCTTTGTTGTGGTTTCTTTGCCACTTTTACGCATGTGCACAGAATAATTTTTTTTTCAAACAATCATTCAGCTATTTTTAATAAAAAGTAACGAGTAACGGGTAACGTAATTTGATAGGAGATACCGTAAAATAATAACGACATTACTTTACTCGTTAGCCATTTGGGACTCTAACGAGTACGTTCGTAAAAAACTAACGCGTTACGAATAACGTCGTTACTTGTGACGCTGTTCGAACACTGGCCAAGAGAGCATATTAAGCCCACTATTTGCACCTGGCGCACGCCCTGGCTTTGCCCGCTCCTACCACTGACCAAACTCTGTATATACACAGCTCTGAATAGCATTCATCCATTGACTCATGGGAAGAACAACATCAACAAGGTTCCAAAATTCAGGTGGAGCAATCGGGCATCTAATGGACCTTTTGTAGAAACATCGATTCCAGAATAAATGGTCTCTCTTCCGTCTGGCCGAGCAGAGAGGGAAGATGGTTTCTTTTCGACTTTGGGGCAGAAGATAACCCACGATGGGGACAAAGGGGAGTTTGGGAGAGCCGTATCTAGGTCACAGCGGCTCAATGGACGAACAGGATGTGGCTGACGTTTTGGGTGTCGAACGGGTGGGAGAGCGCGCGCGTTATTTTTCTAGCCACTCTCGAACACAGTCGCGTGTCTAAGCGGGCGGCAGCACATATTCGTCAAAAGGTGTTGACCGATCCCGAGGCATTCTATCCACGAAGGTGGCGAAACAGAGGAAACACTTCGCTCGCTTCCAGTAAGGTTTCAACGGCATTGAATGCTTGCCCAGTGCTCAGTCACATTGGTCTGTGCTTTTGTGTTGTTCGTTTAGGCCTTGCGTTTGATATCGCCATGAAGGGAGTGCTGGTTGGAGATGACCACCTGTGCCTGATGGACCGAAGTCGCCTTCGGTTCGCGGAAAATGTGGACACCTGCACATTCGGTGTCGAAGGCGCCACCGCTGAATCCCTGCTGGCGAAGGTACGGCAGCTGAACTTCGCGCCCTTGGACTTTGTCGTGGTGTGCGTGGGAGGCCAAGATTTAAGTGACGGTAGGGGCTTCGCAGACATCCGCACCGACATCCTGGTATGTTATCTACTTATTTGTGTATGTATTTTTATATGCCTTCCGTGTAAGAATGTAAGGTGGGTAAATGTCGCAAATTGATCTTCGTTTGTAGGCTCTCCTGGAGTTCCTGAGGACTGTCACTCCGGTGCTGTTTGTGTTCAAAGTACTGCCTCGCGGCGGGGCGACTGCTGAGGCCGAGGCGGCACGCCAGAATCTGAATCGCATGCTGATGAGGGCCATCCGCGGGATGGTGGACGTCGTCATCATCAACGCGGACGTGAGTTTTGCTGCGTAGCACAAATCTGCGATGCACCCAGATGGCACGAAGCGCATCCCGCTGTTATGTGCAAATCTGAGCCTTGGACCCGTATCTTTCCCCTTTTGCTGGAACGAGTGAATAGAACTCTGCTGATTGAACTATCCACACCGCGTTCGTTCAATAATGCATATTTCAACGTTAATCATGTATTTCCTTTTCCTTCCGTCGATCTGTGTGTACGTCACCGAAGTTGCATCCCGGGATGGCTGCAGTCGATCGCCGCAGCCATCTACGCTGACATTGTGGTGGAAGCTACGTGCTCGTTGGCCCAGTCATACGTCGATCAGACGACAAGGCGGCGGTTGAAGTTGTTCTGACGAGAGCGTGGCCTCCCACCGCACTGTGAGCGTAGGAATGAGCAGAGCAATGGCGTCACTAAAGGGGCAATGCAACAATTTGCAAACTCTGGCTAATTAATTGCGGGAATTGATCCCGGCCACATATAAAACGAAGGTCCGAAAACTATTCTTTCCTGCTTGCCCTAGTTTTCATTAAAAAAATAAAAGAAATTGGTATCTCTGGCACCCCTCAACTCAACATTGAAGCGGCACCAGCTTCGCCTGTGACGTCATTCGGAGTGGCGTTGGTTTCCGGTTAGGTGCTTCTGGCTTCCGTTTCCCCAGCGCTCGCCGGCTCGCCAGGCTCGCCGCTCTCCCGCCGATTCCCGACCAACATGGCGGCATGGGCGGACGGACTGAGCGACGTCGAGCGCAAGATGCTTGCGACGCGGCGGGCAGTCGAAGTCGAGACACCAGGAACAATAACGATACCACGATACTACGGACCACGACCTTCCCCCCCCCCCCCCCCCCCACCCCTCTTTCCCCTCTGGAAGCACCTGCACTCGCCCTTGAACGCCGCTATTATTATTATTATTATTAGAGTAAGTTACAGATCAAGAACGTAGCGGCAGATGCCCCTCAAAGGGAATCATATATCCCTCCGCCACCTCCGCATCCAACAGCGTCCAATCGTTTCCGTGACGTCGCGGCCAACGCGGTTGGAGGATCTTGCCTTCCTTTACATAATTGCCTTATCTTTCGACTTTGACTTAGCGTTGTGGAAGCTACGAGAGGGAGATTAGAGTTTTCCTCTCCGATGCAAACAAACACGACTTTCTGGGGCTCGGTTCCCTCTCCGATGAATACTGTAGAGTTGTTGCAGATCGTTCCGATACCAATATTTCGCTAACGCCTTTGCACATGCATCGCAATGAGTGATATCTTGAGTGAAAAAACGGTTAAAGTTGGAAAAAACGGTGGCGAGCTCAAGATATCTTGAGCTCGCCACCGCGCCCCCACGTACTTTAAGTCCGTCTAAAATCCATTGATATAGCGGCTTTCGATAACGCTCAGCAAGTTTCTGATATTAACAGTGTGTTTATTCGCACTGATAAAAAAAAAAGTTACTTAACGCATTTTAGTTAATTATCTGAGTTGACGTGATGATGGCGTCTAGAAATCAAATTACAATAACACCAAACGCTTAACAAATTTTTTTTAATAATTGAAAACGAGCGTGTTGGTGATTAGATACAAATACAAGAAAGGATAAAAACATCGGCGACGGGGACAAAAGCAGGACCTCTTTCATCGAGGAAAACCATAGAATGACATCAACATACTCCCCCCCCCCCCCAAAAAAAAAAAAAAAAAAAAAAAGTTTAAACGTTTTTGAAGAAGGAAAGGGAAATCTACTATAAATTTAAAAAGTTAAAAAAAAAAAAACACTAGCGCCACGGTGATGTATCAGTAACCAAGTCATCTGTGGTGGTGTTAGGAATTCAACCTCTGTTTTTGCCAGGGATAATGAAGGTGCAGAAATATTGTTGTTGACAGTCCCGCTTAGGGCTCAATGAAAGAAGTCATGTTTTCGCTCCCACCCTCAATGTTTTACCACTTCATTTTTTGTTCTATCTTTTTTTATTGTACGGTGCGGGTATGACGGTGCAATGGCGGCGGGGTGTGAATCACCGCGGTGTGATCAGGCGTGGGGAGAAGGGGCAAGCACTAGGAAGGCTGGGGAGGGGGAGAGAAACCTCCTATTCTCTCTAACGTTCGTTGTCTAGGGCTCTTCCTTTCTCCCCTCGCCCTCCATTGCCCTCCTCAAGACGGTAGGGCGAGGGAAAGGAAGATTAGGGAGGAGGAAGCAGACGGAACGCTGGAGAAGAGAGGAGAAAACCGTCTCCTCTCTTCAGCGTTCCGCCTGCTTCCTCCTCCCCGGCCTTCCTTTCCCTTGCCCTACCTTCTTGAGTTGTAACGGATTATAGTGCCTAGTGCTCGCAATTTCTTTCTTCGTCTGACGTTGCCTTCAATTTTCTTTGCAATTTTCTTCACTGCTATCTTTCTTCCTGGTTTGTTGCCATCTTTACTTCAAACCTTGTGTGTACTAGCCCACTCAGCCACCGATCCCCCAAGGCGACCTCCTCTCCAGCGTTTGCTCTTCTAAAGTGGAGAGAGGTGGGAGGAGCTTTTCCAAGCAAGAAAAAAAAAAAAAAAAAAAAAAAAACTCTTTTTGGATTGACAGTTATATCGAAAGCCCCCCGCAAATCAGTCAATTTTAGGACGACCGAAAGCGCGTGAGTGCGCTACAAATACCACTCGTGCAGCAGGCTCAAGGCCGCGGCAACGCGGACGATGAAAACAGCATCCGCGTTCTCGCGCTCCCGAGCGCCCTCCGGATCACGATGCAGCGCGATACGATTGGATCCTAAATCATTTATTTTTGATTGGCTTTAAGTCTCCTACACATTTTTTTGAAAACCGGAGATGACTGACGAAGAAGGGGCCAACACACAAAACGTCTCAATTGAGACGTTTTGTGTGTTGTCCCCTTCTTCGTCCGTCGTCTCCGGTTTTCAGAAATGTGTAAGATCAACTAGCTTGCCTCCTACTTACTTTATCTTTAAGTCTGCGGTGCCCTCGAGGCCGGAGTGGACAAAGATACCTTTATTTTTTAATGTTTTTTTTACATTACCCCGACCTCCAAATCTATCTTCACTTCCTGCAGACCAGGTTCATCGACAAAGAGAAGCGTCCCAAAGAAGCCCACTTCGGTGAGGACGGCTACATCAGCCGCTACGTGGGCGTCCGGGTACTCGCCAACCTGCTGAAGCTGGTCGTGATCAAGCGGCTGGGCGCCCACTGGGCCGGCCCCAGACCCCGCATCGAGATGTGCCAGCTGGTTTTCTGCCGCCACTGCGAGGCTGAGGGCCACCGGACGGGCCAGTGCCGGGCCTTCAGGAGGTGTCCAGAGGATTCCCCAAAGCCTGCACCCTACGTGGACGACGTGTAGCATGAAAGCGTGCGCCCTCCACAAATACTCTGGGCCCGATGACCGATGCTTCGAGTTCGTAATAACGCGCAAAATGTCCCCCGCAAAAAAAAAAAAAAAAAAAAGAAAAAAAAATATATATATATATATATATATTTTTTTTTTTTTCTTGTCGCGGAAATTAATTAGGTTAATTAGGCCTCGAACAGTCCATGAAAACAGCAACATGGCGCATCTCTCAACTTCTGTAGCCGAACACTGCGTCGGCGTTCAGATGGAGGCTCGTGTTCTCCCGTCGTCTGAGGAGTGGCTAGTCACTCCGTCCTGCGTAAACAGTGCAGCATGCACGGTGCATTTGATCAGCACCTGCTCAGCACAAAGACCCAAGTAGGTCAAGCTCTGACGACTGCTTTCACAAAAGATCCGGCTCGCCGCGTCCCGCCAACAACGTCACTCCCTTTATCGACAACCCATTTTAAATTACGCAAACAATCATTTCCGCAGGCCTTGTGTTGAGTAAACGTCGAGCTTTGGGGGAAAGCAGACTTTAAAGGGACAATAAAGACGATTTTATTTAATTTTTTTAAATGGTGTTTTAATGCTTCTCGGGAACATAGCATGCCGCCCAATTTTTTGTAGACATTTATGACGTGTATTTCTGTGCCTACGAAAGAAGTAAAGAAACCGAAACTGAACCATCTCCAGTCTCGTTTCTGGGCCTCCGAAAACGGAGGTGACGTAGGGAGTGACGTCAAGTGTGAATGGTCGGTATCGGTAGCATTTAGGAGATCAAGACTCTGGTTACTGCGGTGGGTTATAGCAGCGCGGTGGCGCGTTCGTTGCGCCGATGGACGAATACCGCTCTCGCGAGCGAGTTCGAGCTTCCGTTCAGTGACCGAACACCAACGGAACGGGAGTACGTGTGCGGCGGCCGCTGCCATCACCCGACGGAGACCGCCCAGCCGGCAACGAGCGGCCTGCATGCCGAAGGACGGACGCGGGGGAGATGCCGAGGGGAAAGCGGCAGCGATCCCGCCGTTCAGGGATCCGGTTCCTCCGCGGACGTCCTCTTTTCGTCGTCAAAGAACACGAACAGCAACCCACACGTGAAAACTAGCGTCGCCCGAACAAATACTGGTCTTCAGTCGACCGTTAGAACAGCCATCTACAGCTACCATTTTGCAAAATATTTCGAGTACCGTGTTCTTTTTTAATTTTATTTTGTTGGCCCATAGTTGCTCGTTGCCGGTTTCGCGTCCAGCGTAGCAAAGAAAAAAACAATGATGCTGCTTTATTTACGGTTTAGTAATCATTTCCGATCCGATTTATACTTTTGATGGTTATTCAAGCGGAAATGAGAACAGTATTTCTAAAAATCGCGAACCAAAACGTGACCGAAGGCACGTTTCTCGTTTCGACCAATCGCTGACGCGTCTCTTGTGACGTCGCGCTCCTTGGCCCCGTTGGCCCCGCATCGGTCACGTGAGCTCCGCTTCTCCTGGCTTCTCCCGCAACTCTTGGGGCGTCGCCCCAGTCGATCCCGGTACGATTATTACCGCGACTGTTTAATTGATTTGCGCGGCACACAAGCGCCGGTTTCGGCTGAAATTTGGGCAACGTGGCCTGAGATGTGCTTGGAACCCAGTTCAATCGCCAAAAAGATCTCCGAAATTGCCTCCATTGTCCCTTTAAAGAGTGCCATTGAAAGGTTCTGAAATCACACTTGGTCCCGCTAGTTCTACGTTTGGGTGGAAACGGCGTTCGGTGAGAATGTGACGCTGGTGGTTGGATTAGAATGCCGGGTGGGATTTCAAACGGACCATCTCAGTACGCTGCCGCGAGATGGGGACGCGATAACTCTTTCTATCATTAGCGCCCCCAGAACTTTTATCTTGAAAGGGGGGAGGGGTATTTTTGCCCTTTTTTCATGGCCTCTTTTTTTTTTACATGCGGAGCATCTCTTGCTCGGGTCTATGTCCCGCGGCGTCGTAGTCCGCACTCACACTACGCATGCGCAACTCTCATCCTTCCCTCTCCCCAACAGCTGCGCGTTACTCTCTTCGCTCTCTCTCTCTCTACCAGCTGCGTGCACTTCGCGACTCAGTGTTGCCAGATGGTCCCACCTAAAACCGCCAAACGGCTGGGAGATATAGCCAAAGCCACAAAAAAACTATAGCCCAAAATAGCCAAGATTAAAAACAATAATTTTTAAGCCTTATATTCACAATTTCCCACACTCATACCATCCACGTTACAAACTCTGTTTCAACCCTCAGGTGCACCAACTTTTGTGTACATTATGTTACTTGTGAATAAAAAAGAAAAAAAAAAGATTCCGAAGGATGAAAATCCGTACAAAACTGGCCCTTCCTTAGGTTTTCAGAAGTACAAATCACAAGTCGACAGCTTTATTGTGAAGCCCGGGAGATATGATCAAACAGAAAAGAACGAAAATACAGAAGCAGAACAGTCAGAACACTGGGTGTTTAAAACCAGAACCCCAATATCTCTGGTCCTTACCAATATTTCACCCATCTCTTTTTCTTTGCGAAGAATATTAGTGTCACCCATTCATGTTCACGTTATTTCTGATTGTGTTGGAGTAGGCAACGACTGGCAGGTAGTCATGTGTTTAGCGCTGAAACTGCGGACTCCTCATTTTTACAAACTTGGGTGCCTAAGGATTCTCACAATGGGCACCAAAGCAGCATTTGGAGAGTTCAGTCTACGTCCGGGCAGAGCCATATGCGTCCGGGTTGAAGGCGCTCTACCTTGACTGTGATAATAGTGCGATCTGTTTGGTTTGCTCCACTACCCTGTATAGGGAAACCGCTTGAACTCTGCAAGCATTGCTTCACTGCTTATTGTGAAAACCCCGAAGTTTGTTGAAGTTTAAAGCTTTTTCTCCTTCCTCTCTCTCCTCTCAACTTGCCAAAAGAGAAACAATTTTTTTTCGAACCTGATTAAAAGTTTGAAAATTAACTAGCCGAACCTGAAAGTTCGGCGTCGAACCTGAGGTTCGACAAAAGTTCGCCACATTCTTAGAAATAGCCCGAATTAGCCACATAGCCAACCACGAAATTTTGACGCCAACTAGAAAAGCGTGTAGCCCAATTTGGCTATATATAGCCCAATCTGGCAACACTGCTTCGCGTGCGTTCGCTTCTACTCACACCGCGCGCGCATGCGCAACTCTCCTCATCTAGTCCCCTCTCCTTCAAGTGTGAGTATAGACCATTCCATTTAGCGCTCTCTGGGCGGCACCATTTTGTTCGACCGCAGCGCCCTCTCCACACATCCGGGAAGTTCAGCGGGTTCGGCGGGGTAAAACGAGAGAGAGGGCACGCGCCCGACTCCGCTAGCAGACGACAAACCGGGAGGTTGCCGTTCTCCATCTTTGGGCTGTATCGGCGGGCTCTACCGAACATCGAACTCTCGCTCGTAGCTACCGTTGTGAAGTGGTTCGCGTTCTTAGAATAGTTGTGGCTACTCCAAAGTCAGCCTATAGTCTCGGTTGTTCTATTTTGCTAAATGATAAACTAGCATATCCTTTTTCCGTTACTTAAATAGCAGTTGAGTCAGCCGGCAGTACTACCCTCAACTACTGCGTGTATTGCGGCAGGAGAGCACGTTTTTATTTATTATTTCAGACTTCGACTCATGGTCGCTAGAGGCCCACACCAATACGAACTTTTGTATAATAAAAAAGGTACAGCAACCGGATTTTCTTTTCGCCAAAAAGACCGGCCAATCTTACACAGTTTTCCCTATTTTTGTGTTTTATTTGCACGCAGGCAATAGTGCAATTGGACCCTGTGAGTTTTTTTTATCTTGCATAATATTACACGAACTAGGATACCAAAATCTGCGCATCTGCGCTTGAAAGTTCCAAAATGACGCGATTTTAAACAGAGTTTGCACGTCAGCCGGACGCTAGCTACAGCCCACTCGGCGGAGCGGACGGCTTGCGGGGGAGAGGGGGAGTGCATTTTTTTTCTGTTTTACCCTCTCTGCTATGACCCTAATGGAACGCCGTTTTACTGAAAGAGGGCGAGAGAGAAAAGGGGAAAGGGCTACCGGCGCTTTCCCCCTTTCTGATTGTGTAGAAAGAGTGAAAGTCCCGGATGAGAGGCTTGGCCGGTGTTGGGTGCCCGCAGTACCCAAACTTCGTTCGCACTTTCTTTTCTGTTTTAAACTCGCAAACTTAAATATAGCTACGGGCTTCGATGGCAACAGTCCCCCGGTCATTGAGACACCATTGCTCGGTCATAGGGTGCACGAATAAAAACAGAAAGCGTTGAATTCTGTCCGAGGACTTATGTAGCTTGCGAGGAATCCAGCAAGGCGAGAGCGGCTGCAATGTCTTGCAATGCAATGTCGGGATCACGTAGAAAGCTCCATCGCTTTCCATATGACCCCGGTTTCAGGCGGCAGTGGATTGCGTCCGTAAACCGAAAAGGCGTTTCCTCAACGCCAACCTCTCGACTGTGCTCGGAACACTTTGTGAATGGAGCGCGCACCGAACGCTGTACCGCTGATGAACATGGGGTACGCTCGCAAGGTGCGTGCGAGTTTTCTCGTGATAACTGCTGTTTGAGATTGTGAAATTTTCTAGCTGAATATATCTTAATATTGATAATTTTCAGTGGTGACTGACTCGATTTTATCATCTACAACACATAGTTAAAAGCTCGTTTCCGCCGCCGGGTGAGGCTGGAAATTTTTGAAATGGTAGTCCTATCGGTTTTCCTGAATCGGCGATCTCCTGCGTGATACCAGAGAACCGGCAAAAGAGCTCCTTGGAGTGGCGCTGGTTTGTTGTTTCCTTTGATTGGGCGATTTGAAACGCCGGACAGTCGCTGCAGGGTACGTCTCGTGTGTTGCGATCTGCGTTTTCGAGCCCAGTGTGGAAGTTTCTTTGTTCGAGTCATGGCATCCGTCAGTGCGGCGACGGGGGGAACAGCGGCAGCGAACGTGCCAGCGATAGAAATTGGAGGTGAGTACTCAAACTATTGCATCAAATA